TGGAAGGAGAAAGAATAAGGGGAAAGAGATAAGAAAATTAAAGTGGAAAAGAATAAATGTAAAGCAGAAAGTAGATTAACAGAATAGAGGATGAGTGAAGAAAAGTAAAAAAGGAACTAAAACAAAAGACCTCACTCTGCTGGTATTTTGTGTCATGGAATAATTCTAGATATTGAGCACATATAGGCATACCATAATGTAACATATATTCTCATTTAAATCTCATCCAATGCTTTTATACTGTTATTTTTATAATCTCATTCCATACCTAAATGAAACTTTATGATAATTCATTGTAATGAACTGGTCTTTTAACAAAAGCTAGGACACAAGTTAGAATTGTGGCAGTGAGAAAAGTTAGGTCTCTTCCCGAGTAGGCATCTCAGAGGTTGTGAATAACAGCTGAGACAGAAACCAAATCAGCCTGATGCCAAAGCACCTCTATCGCAGGCCTAGGAAACAGAGAGAAGTCAATGAGTGGAAAGTTTCTGGACTGAACAGTGAAAAAAGCAACAAACCTCTTGCAATAGAGCTGAAAGAGAAATCTCAACCATAAGCATGAGTTGAGGCAAATTGTCTTTGATCGTTTTGTCAACGTATCAAGATAACACAACAGAGTGGTAGTCGAATATTTTAACTGCTCTAAAATCTTCAATCAACTTATCAAGCTTCTGATATACTTATAGAAATTATTATCTTTATGGAAAGAAATGTGGATAGTTGGCTAAGACAAATATCTAGTGATGAAAGTAGGATAAGAAAAAATACACCATAGTCTAGAAAAAATGATACAGTGGAAAAATCACCCTCATGCTAATCACCTTTGTATGTGAAAAGGTCCTGAGTGTTTCCCAGAAATCACCAAAATACAGAAAAATCCCTAGGTATTAGACAAGGATGAATACTACGAAAGTATTCCCAATAGAAGAATAAAGGGAGCCTGATAATTATAAATCAATAATCAGAAGCACTAGAAACTACCTCTTAGAAGATAAGAGGTAAAATAAATTATCTTCTATAAGAACATGAAATTCCAGGTAAAAAGAAAACAAAGTTTCCTAAAGTATAATTTTTTTTAATATTTATTTATTTTTATTTATTACATTTATTTTTTATTGTGTGTGTGTGTGGCCAGCTCAGCCCACCAGGGGGCGGGTCTGGCTGGCATGTGGTGCTGGGGATCGAACCGCGGTCCCTGTGCTTTGCCAAGCTTGTTTCAAGTAGGTGCTTTAGACCACTGAGCCATCTCTCCAGCCCCCTAAAGTATAATTTTGATAAGCTCGTTCGAGTTAATTTCAAGTGTGTTAGTCAGACACACACGACTATGTTTAGACTGAAAGTGCAGCACAAAGAAAAAAAAATTAAAACTTAGCAGGCTGGTAGAGACTTATTTTGCCCTTTACAATCAATACAAATAGATTATGTCTTTCATTGTTCAGTCTCACAGACTAAGTTTAACACTGCGAATCTCATTTACTGGTGGTAAATTCAAGTCCAGAATTCTATAAAACATAAATCTTTTTACCACCTTTGTAGGCTACCAACTTTCTGAGTCTTTATAACTTTATCACCACCATTAAATTTTCTCACTGTTGATTCTTGGTTTTAATGTGTGGCCTTGCTTGCTCTTTTCTGCAGAACAACATCAAGTTTCTGCCCAAGTAATACCCTGCTCCCTGGGGCCATTATTTATTTCATCTTACAAAAGACCCTGGTCTAATATTCCCTAAAAAAATTCCATCCAGTAAAAATCTACTAACACCTGAGCCCCAGTTCTTGTTGATTAGAAGTCACACCTGTCTAGATTCCGGCCCCCACCTCCACCCCCATACTTTCTGACAGATGACTTTTAAACTAGCACCATATCTAACATAAGAAGGGAGAAAGAAAAGGATTATGGGGAGTTTTCTCCAGAATTGTTAAGTAAAATTAGCTCTCCGTGCAGAGATGTACCTTGCTTGTCTTTTAATTTGTGTGCTTTCTAGAACACTGCTGTTGGAGCCCTGGAATGTGTGTCTCTGAGTTTGAAATGTACTTTAATAGCTCTCTGAGTTCTCCTATGAGGTTCCATTAACAGGAGATTTACTAACATCTTAGAGCCAGGGAAGCATCGGTCTAGAGACAAACAATAAATTAGTTAGATTCGTAGAGCTCTTGAGTATACACTTAGAGCATTCATAGCTATCGGTTTTGAGCTTGGGGTAAGCCAGTTGGCATTTAACAAATAGCCATAAAATTCACTCTTCCAATTAATGATTACAATAAAGGAATGATTCACAGCCTTAAGAAAACCTAACAACTGACAGGAAATACAGGTCTAATAAATGAAGCTGTCATTGGCAAAGCATGCATCTAAGGAAGAGTCTCTCCTAAATCCTAAAATCACATAGATTTATACAGTGGTAAACTAGTAATAGCAGCTGATGGGTTCACAGCAATTAATACATGAAACACTTATTTCAAAGTTCTCAGGAGAATATGGAACAAGTTTAGCAAATGATCTAGAAGAAGGATAGTGGCAGAAAGGAAGTTATGTGTGATCAACCAAGATTTCTCTTTGATAGTGAGGCCAAGGACTTTATCACCTTGTAAAGAATACTTGGAGCTAATGCCTCAATTATATCAGATTATATCAGTGAAATAATATTATTCTCAAGCTGACTGCATGGTGCACTATGCAGTTCATTCCACAGTGTGTGTTCAGTCATTCAAAATATACTCTCTTAGTTTTCTTTACCAAGACCCAGTAATATGAATCTCTCAGGAATTTGCATCCAATTCTGTGATCACAAAAGGCAGGTAAATGGAACCTACAGAATGGTAGTTGAGTTGTGGCTGTTCCTAATGTTGACAACTATGTGCATACCAGATTTACCTCCCTATGGAAGAGCTATGGGCGCCCATGACTCAACCCCATGGATATCATAAATAAACTAATTCCACAAGCCAAAGTTTAAAATGTCCCATTATGACATAGTTAGACCATACACATTGTAATAACATTTTTGTGTTTGCTCAGTAAGGAAATCCTTAGGAAATTCTCATTTCTGTATCATTTGTAGTCCTTCTATTACCAGCAGAGTGGTGCATGCCTGTAATCCCAGCAATGGGGAGGCTGAAAACAGGAGGATCTCCAGTCTGAGCTGTGTAGTAAGACCCTGCAATAACCAAATACATTAACAAAGAAATCTGAAAAATCTTTTAGAAAAATCCAGTTAAGACAAAAGACAGACTTCACCTTTCTGGTTCTGTTATGTTAATCCTGGCAGGCTGCCTGGCATCTGTACTTTGTCTTTCTCACGTAGAAAATTCGAGAGTTAGATTGAATGAGCCTATATTCTACTCTAGTTGAAAATGGTGTTAACTCTAAGAATTACAACTAAGATTTACATTAAGCTAAAATTTCAATAAAATTCTGTCCTATGTTTTTCCAGGATATATATAGAATAATCCAAATGTCTTAGAGAAATTTTAACTGCTTTCATGTCTTAAATTTGTCAAATTGATTTTACCGATATTTTTCAACCCTGGATGGAGTACAGTTATCAGCAAGGCCTATTATAAAATGTAACAATGAAAGCCAAATTGGATCAGATTTCATGAAAAATAAAATTTATACCCTACATGTTCTGCATACATGAGCTTTCTGATTACCATAAATGCTGGAAAGTTACACTCAGTATACCTTGGGGAATTGAGCACTGATATCGCAAAACCCATCTGAGATTTCAGGTGGTCAGGGCAGCAACAGGAAGCAATGAAAACTGCAGTTCTTATGAGGTAGTCAGGTTTGCTGCAGGGCATGGAGCTGCTAGTAGTAAACTGTGCTTGATTCCCACACCGGGAATTGTAAACCGAAACGGGAAGGGAAAAGGCAAACAAGTCAGTTTAGCTATTAATTATAGGATGCCTGGTTAAAATAACTTTCCTATCAAAACATTCCAAAACTGGCTCTTCAGGATTAGGGTATGAAAAGAAATTGAAAATTGCCCCCATGTACCTTAATCGGTTCTTAGAATAGAATACAAAATATATCACAGAGAGATTGGGCCACTGTGCACATCCATGTAACACACACACACACACACACACACACACACACACACACACACAGCCTTTACTCTGTGGTATATTCATGTAAGAGAGGATGGTTTTCTTATTTGAGGAGGAAAGAGTGGATGGGGTAGGACTGGCCCCTCTCCCAGCTCAGCAATGTGCAGAGTGCCTAGCAATAGAGAAAAATAAAAAAGCAAAATTGACTTACTACCTGCCAAACAATAGAGTACTAGTTCACTAAAATCATCCATTTGGAAAACAGGAACATCTTTTTTATTTTAAAGAAAAGAAACACAACGAAAACAGTGTTACAGACTTTCCTAACATGGTAATAGTAGATTGACAATGATTGATATGTTGTGTACTGTTATATTCAAAGCAGTTACTCAGATTATAATGAAAAATTAATCAAACAATACAAAAATAAATCATTCTTTTTAATGA